ATGACGACAATAATGCAAAAGGTGTTGTGGATATTTATCTTCGACGTACCATTGATTGTTCATTTGGAATTGGCTTAACAGGTAGGAAAAGTTTCATGAAATTTTCGTATTTTAAAAGTATGAAAAGGTGTTAATAAGTTGATAAATTTAATGAGATTGAAAATAAATTTTCATCAAATTTACTTTAACTATGATTTTGGATATGACAAATTAAAAAACAGTTAACATTCATCCAACTATTGCTCAATTATTTAATCAGACATATCTCATGTTAACGATATATTTAAGTGATACTTAATTTGTGGTTGAATTCTATTTTTCTTAATTCATAGTTTTTTGGTTAAATTACATATCTACAAATTTTAGCTTATTTTTAAATTCTGCAATTTTTTAATAAAATGTATAATATTTTACAATGCTTATCTATTTTTTTTTTTGTATAAATTTTATGAAAAATTTTTAATTTTAAAGCAACAAAAAAAATATACAACAAACAATAAAAGATTTTTGCATTTTTTTTTTCTAAATTTTTATCTTTTTTGAAATTTCAACAATTTAAGGATGCTAAATTTTTTTTTTCCAATATATAATGTAAAAATTTGTAAAATTACTTGTTACAGGTGGTACGGATCAGTTGCATCCGCCATCAATCACATTTCTTAGACCAGGAAGTGTTGCACATGTCAGCGATCAACTACGAGTGGGAGAACAGCTCAAGCTGGTGAACGGGATTGCTGTAAATTTAAAAAAAATTTTTAAATTTTTATAACATTCTTGTGATGTATTTCTTTTTTTTTCCTGTGAAATTTGAAAGAAAAAAGAAAGACGAGAAAGAAAGAAACCAATTTTGGATTATTTTAGCTAAATGATCTTACACATGAGCAAGTTATGACGTTATTACGAAATTCCGGAAATTGCGTGTATTTACAAGTTGAATACAATCTTAATGATAATGGTTGGTATCATATCATATTTGATTGTATCGAAGTTCATTATCAATTTTTGAATCTTTTTTTTTTAATACCCAAAATATTTTGTTATATGAATAATATTAAAAAAATATTTAGGATACGAAAATGAAATGATGGATTTTTAAATTTTCCGGTTGCTTAAACCAACAAATTAAAAGATAACACTCCTAGGATTAAAAGTTTAAAAAGAACGAAATGCGAGGAAGAGTTTTTTTTTTTTCGAATCTTTTCTTCAAAATTTTCTAATTTACAGATTTCAAGCAGCCCTCAAATACTCGATTAGCATCTGCAGATATTCGATTGATGAAAGAGAATAATCGAGTTGGAGTTACATTACGTGGTGGCGCATATGGACCTGATCGAAAAAAATCGAGACCTCTTACAATTATGAATATTCGGACCGGTAGTCCGGCTCATCGGTAATTTTCTAGCGGATTTTTATATGCAAAATTTTGCTGCAATCTTGTAGTTATCTCCCATTGAAGTAAAATTTGTTGATTGTCATATTCAGAGCAAATCTTTTACAATTCAACTCAATAAATAAAAAGAGTAAAAATAAGAATAAAAAATGAAAAATTTTGAAAATAGAATATTTCAAAGTATTCAAGAAGATAAAAATATTTTAAAATAAATTCTATTTTTTTTTTTTTTTGCAGGATTATTCGTAATATTTTATTATATTTATTTCAGAGAAAAACGTTTACGAATTGGTGATCGTGTGCTTGGTATTAATGGAGCTGATGTATTTAATGCTACCTTAGCTGCTGCACAAAAATTACTTTTTGAAGCTGTTAATACTGTTGTTCTAACGGTTGAATATTATATCAATATAATTGGTATGTTTTAATATCCAAAGGTCAAGGGACAAAAAAAAAATCAATACGAAAAGATTGTATGATATTATATAAAAATAATAAAATTCTATTCGGTGAAAATTATTTATAGAAAAAAAAAAAATAAAATAAGTGGAATTTTAAATTTTACACTTAATAATACATTAAAATTTAATGATATATGGCCAAGTATGTTATTACTTAAACTTGAAATTCAATTAAATTTGTAAAAATATTTTAATTTTACAAATTTTTATTATAATGTAAAAATTTTTTCAGATATGACATATCGGAACAGTGATCATGTTTGTGTAAAAATTGAAAAAGATTTCAGTTTAGATATTGGAATTGAACTTATTTGTGAAATTGATCATACAAATAAGACGACATATGCATTTTTCATCGATCATTTAGTGCCAGCATCAGCTGCTGATAGGTTTCAGAATGTTTTTTTTCTTTAAATTTCTAATTTATTAGATATTTTTGATAAATATTTTAACAATTATTAGATGAAATTATTTGAACTGAATAATTCATGAGAAGATCCAATTAATTATAGAACAATATGAATGAGGAAAGAAAAATAGAAATAAGTGAAAGGAAATGATATATTGGTTGATTTAGTAACATTTTTCAAAAAGTTTCAATCATTCGACTTTGAAACTGCCGCTTTATTCATTCGATAATATCAATGTATCTAAAAAAATAAATAAATAATTTCATGATTTATTCATTATTTAAAGTTAAAATATTAGCTTCTTCTGGATTAGGTTAAAGAATCTTTAAGAAAAGAAAAAGCAGTATTGATCCGGAAAACTTTTATATGTTGCAAAATTTATCTAAATTTCAGATGTGGTGCATTATTTCCCGGTGATCAAATCATAGCAATAAATGGATGCAAACTTGACTTTATTCCATTTTCAGATGTTAATCGGCTACTTCAAACACCTTTACCAACTGTATATTTGGAAATTATACCTGCCAATCATATAAGGTTTTTTTTTTTTCGGAAATATTTTTTCATTTCTTACAGTGCTTTAATTTGGACAAAATGGTTGATAAACAATAATATATTGTACTCTTGGATTTAAATACATTTGTAATCGAAATGAATTTTATATTTCAAAAATTCATTGCTTGAAATATTTTTATTGTCTTGAAATCAAAAGAATTTTTGTTGGATGATCTGTTAAGGTTATATTGCCGATGCAACGCTATATGTTATCAAATAATCAGTTAATTGAGGATGATGTTGATGATAAGTTTGATTGAATTCGCTGAACAGAGTTTTAAAATAATAAAAAGTAAACGAAATACAGAAAATGAATAAATCATTTTCATTCAAATATCATGAAATTAAAAGTGTTGCAGTACGATTTATTCATCAAGTAATTTAATTCTTTCTGGAGTTAAACATTAATGCAAAAATATCTGATAACTTTAGAAGATTACAATAATTTTATATGATCGAGATTTGTTTAGATTTTTATCAAATTCCAAACAAAAAAATAGTCAATTTTTTTTCTTCGGAAAACTTTCTTACACAATCTATAAGACTTTGAAGAAAGAAAAATATATTATTAAAAAATACTCCAGTTTTTTTTTCGAACAACAACTTAAATTGTTTATATATGATTTTTCAGAATATATAAAATAAAAATACTTGAATCCAATCATTCTTTTTTGTCCACTTGTTTACATTTAAAAAAGAAATTTAAAATTGACGAATTTGTTCACATGGAAGGATTTGTGTAGTTAATTGTCTCAGCTGTCCGAAAAATATTCTTTCTTCGTATCCTCCCTGGTTCATTATTCAGTTTGTTTTAGAAATCTCCTTTTCATCCCTCCTCTCTCTCCCTCTCTCTCTCTCCCTCTTTTTCTCTTTTTTCTTTTCCCTTTAAAGATCCTTCCATTAAAATTTTCCGTTTATCTCATTATTACTCATATTTTTTGAATATTTTTTATGATTTATTTATCAAATACATTAAATTGAAAATTTTCAAATTTTCAGAGGCAAACAATTTTTACCGTTAACAAAAATTTGTATTGTAAATGATTGCTCATTGAATGCGCTGAAATATCGAAAGCATTCAGGTAATTTATTCAATTTTTTCATTTATCATTTTTCTTTTTTATCTCTTTCTTCCTCCTTTTTTTAAAAAAAAAATAAAATTTTTTTTATTCCTTATTTATCGTATATAAATTAAATGATAAATTTATCATGTATGCATGAATTTCAACTCATTGTTATCATTTTTTTCGCGAGTAATCAATTAATTAATACTATTTCATCTTGTAAAACTCATTAATGACCTTATCACATATATATGTCACTTTCAATTCACCATTAATTTTATAAAAAATAACTGATTAATTAATATTATTAAAATATTGTATAAGCATTTATTCGTGTTCAAAATTATTTGCCTCCTATTTTTCTACAAAAAGGAATAGTCATATAAGAGAGGAAGAGTGAGAGAGAGAGAGAGAGAAAGGAAGAAAAAGGAAGAAAAAGGCCCTACTATTGATTATGACGACATGTTTTATCAACACCATGAAGCATTCTTCTTTTTTTTACAGGTGGTGATGTTTACCAGCAAAGCATTACTTTATCATCAGAAACTGCTTCATACAGTTTCAATTTTTCAAAATCTATTAATCGGTAATAATTAAGATTTAAATAGTTATAGTAGTAATTATGATTTAATTTAGTGATGATCTGCAATTTCAGATAATTAAATTTTAATTAATGATATAAGATACTGGATAAGTGTGGGATAATTTTAATTAGTTTTTTGATCACTTGATTAAATAGTGTGCTACTTTAATTTGCTAATAAACATCAAATATCATGCAAATCAATAGTAATAACTATCCGTTTTCTAGCATTTATTGATAGTGAATAAGAAATTATATATTTCAATCAAAATTTTAATCTTACAATTACTTTCTTTTTTCTCAACTAATATTATTATAGATAAATGGATTTGTTCATTGTTAAATGAAATAGATATATTTCAAATCTTTTTTGTTATCTTCCTTTATAGACCTCTTACAACTTTTCCGCTCGTTTATCTTTCATTAGATTAATTCATTTTTGTTTTTTTTTTTCACTCTTGAAAATTAAGACAAATACAGTTGCTTTATCCTTATTGTTTATTTAAATAATTAAAGATGATATGATAATTATCATAGTTGTAGAGAAGAAGCGTAAAAATTATAGTAATAATTTTTAGCATTGAAAAAAGAGAGAAAAGATTAAGAATTTTTTTTTTTTTAAGAATTTTTTTTTCTTTTTTTTCAGATTAACAATGTTACGTCGAAGTTTTATGAAGCATAAAAGTAGCAAAACGAATGGAATAAAACAGGATGAAGGAGTAAACATTAAAATGTTACCAAATAAAGCTAAATTTTCAAATAATATGGTAACACGAAGAGCTGGTAAATATATTTTTTTTTCATTACTGATACTTATTATAA